TTTTCTTGTGCTCTTTAGAGTACTTTTTTAAGTCATAGGTCATGTTCTGTCTCATTAGATCCCTATATTAAGATATACATGCAGCTCTGTCTAGACGTTTTTATTATTTGATTTAATTTTTTGACAAATTTCTGGAGCTGAACATATGCTAAATGGTAAAATGATAATCTTTTAAATTTATATCGGTCAAAAGGTGTTGAATGTACACTTTCTTCATCAAGCTGAATTTGCCAAAAAGCAATATTAGCATCTAAAGCAGAAAATAATTTTCTTTTGGAATTTTAGTGATAACATTATCTACTGTTAACATAGGATAATATTCTCATTTCATCACTTTATTTAAGTATGTAGGAGCTAAACATATTTTTGTTAGGTTTGACAACAACAACTATTGAATTTATCCATTCAGTTGGTTCTCTTACTTTTCAATAACATTTAAATTTTCCATTTTTTTTCTATGTCTTTCTTCACTTTATCTCGAATAGTTAGAGGCATTTTTCTTAAAGGATAAATTAGTGGCAGTGCCTCTTGTTTTAGCTGGGTTTTATATTCCTCTTTTGAATGGCCTAATCCATCAAATATATATCTCTATTCCTTCAGTAAGTGTTCAGTATAAACAGCCGTTACTTTTTGTATCAAACCTATTTACAGACATGATTTTAATCCTGATGTAGAAGGTACTTCTTTGCCTATAACTTGGAATTCCATATCATAGTTATTTTTTCCATATTGGCAGTTTAGTACAACTTTTCCTATAGTACCCATTTTATTCTGAGAGAATGTAACTAATCTTTTAATATCAGACTTCTGTTCTGGAATGTCCAGCATTTTCAATTTGCTTATAAAGTTGCACATTGCTTCTATATCTAAGTGAAGATTAAGTTTATTTTAATTTACATTAATCTCAACAGTCCATTGCTGTTTTTCGTTATTCAAACTAAAGACTTAATATTCCTACCTAAAATTCTAACACTTCCTCAAAGTTGTGATTTAGTAGTTTAATTTGTTTTCCTTTTTCTGTGTGCCTTGATAGCTTCACTTTTTATTTTATAGTTCTTACATTGATTCACAAAATTATTCACCTTTTTACACTTGTGACAGATTTTTCCATATGCAGGTCATTTTCAATATTCATGAAATAATACAATAAACTTTAGTTACTTGTTTCTCATTATTTACCTCTTTAGATATATTATGTTTACTTTTTTTTGCGTTATGTTTACATCAGTATCTTTATTTGATGTGCACTTATTTCTGAAGATCTGCCGATATCAAGAGCTTCCTCTAATATTAATTATGTTTTGTACAATAATCTTGCTCTCACTGCATATCTCCGATACCACAAATAATTTTATCCTTTATCAAACTATCCTTTAATTGTGCAAAATTATGTTCTAGCTTTATTTCCAAAGTTTGTTACTTATTCATTTATGGTTTTGGACACAGTCTGATTTCTGGTAAAGAATGTATTTAGCATATGTAATATTTTTCTTAAATATATGATGTTCCTTAAATTTTGTCTTAATTTCATTTAATTTTCTTGCCTTCTATAGAAAATGTATTATATATTTCAAAACCGTGAATTCCTATTACATGAAGAAGAGTATTAGCTCTCACCTTCTCTTCTTTAGCTCAGTTATACAAACTACTGCTAATCTCCAAAAAAATTTCAAATATATTTATTGAAAGAAATTGATGTTTAATTAGAGCAGCAAAGTTCAAACTAATGCTGGTAAAAGGTCAGTTATATAACCTAAAGGTGTTTTATTTTTATAATGATCTTATGTAAATTTATTTGTAAATCTGATTGAAAATTATCACTTTCGTATTAAGGGTTGCTAAGCATGCTGTATTTTATATTGTAGTATGGTATTGTTATTGATGCTGGATCTTCACATAGTGAAGTGTTTCTGTACCAGTGGGCTGGTAATAAAGATGACGGCACAGGAGATGTTCATGAGCGGGATTATTGCACATATGATGGTAATGATGCATTTTAAAAATTTTCTCCTTTTTTTTTTAATTTTTAAAATCATTGAATTTGCCTTATATTTCCACATAAATTATAAGGATATTGAAATGGTATTCTTAGTAAGTACATTTCCTATTCTTCAAACTCGAAACTGCTGATCATATTTATAAAAAGGATTTACACATATACTGTTTGTCTTTCATTGAAATATATTTCCTGAATTAGCTGCCAGACTGTTATTTTTATTACATTTGTGTATTTTAATCTTTTATGTATATCAGGTCTAATAGTTCAGTTAGTGGCTAAAGTTATGAAAAGCTATTAGTAATTTGTTCTGGCTTATTTCTGGGTACTAAATAGGCTGGTGCTTTCCGCATGTAATGTGAATATGAAGTTATTTCCTTTCAACACTCCTGTCTACCGGCATCTTAAGTTAGAGATGCCTCATGCATTTCTGTAACTACACAACAACCTCTCAAAAGTTAAGCACATAAATTATCGCAAGTTCTCAAATAGCAGATGCATTTTATTAAATGAAACTTTTATTTTTCTTTGATCAGGATGTGCAAATATCCATTGAAGTGGAAGGGGTTTATTCTTAAATATGCATATATGTCATGAAGTAAAATCCACACATTTGAACCGAAGAATATGAGTGTTGAAAGGATTAAAAAAAAAAATAGGTTTTGTATTGATTTTGAATTAGATTAACTTTGCTGTGACTGAAAGATTGTGTTAAGAAAGTACTGAGTGTTGATGTGTTACCTATTCCAGGTCATTTTAGGTCTGTAACATTCTCATTTATTCATTTTAGGTGTAACTTATAACCAGAATATTCATTACTGGCCAAATGCAGCTGCAAACTGATTACACTGATTAGTGGTGCTTACTAATAAATAAGTAATACATATAAGTAACTAGTGTTTGCACATTATTGAATGATTCTAATGCAATGAAACAATTATAATAGTATTTAGTTCTCTTTGGTTGAAATGCAGAAAGTGATTTTTTCTAACCACCTGACAGTATAATTATCCAACATCTCTGGAGACAGCGGGGATGTGTGAAAAAGATGTGCACTTTAAACGAGTATTGTTATAAACTCATGTAAAACTTTGTTGCATTGCTCTTTTTGTTTAATGTTATAATGTTTGGTGTTGTTGTTATAATTTATTTGTTGCATGTATTTTTGTGTAAATGAATTTGTGGCCCCACATTTTTTTATATAAGTGCTTATTTCATGTATAGAATTGTAGATCCATGTTTCTGAATCCAACAACACTTAAATTATGAAAATAGCTTAGCTATTAGAATATAGGAACTCTGTTGTTGGGCCGTAGGGACATTTAGTGATTTCTGGCCAACTTGGAGATTTTTTGTAAGTTTCAGAGAAACATAGAAGCTGAAGGAATAATTTCTCTTAAGACTTCCCAAAGGCCAGGCAGATTTATTTAAGTAACTGCATTTAAGCTGAGCAGATTGGTTTAGTTCTGAGTTATGTCAGAATGCATTTCAAAAGTTTGCTGAGTTTACTCATGAGTGATATCAATAATCTTCAATATTTCTAGTGTTTTAAGGAGGATTTGCCTTATTTCTGCATTCTTGAGTTATTTACAACTGTTATTTTTGCTGTGAAATACTGATTTTGAAATAAATTATGAATTTCTTCCTGCTAATCTGGAATAACTGATGAGATTTCTATGAATCCATAAATTGCAACAGAATCTCTATTACTAATTCAGAAGTACCTTCTTTTCTCTGCTTATTTTAGAAATTTAAGACTTGCATAACTTTGCTCCAGTGAGTGGATATAATTTTCTTACATTTAATGGATTGAGAAACTGAATTTGATTTTTAAATATATGAGTCAGATATTATTTTGATAACAAATAGAGTTTATTTTACATTTCTTTTAACTGCTATTAATTTTAGTTTTCTGTTTAATGAAAAACAAGCTATTATCATAAAGACTTTATAAAAACTTTCTTTTGAACTTTCAAAGCTTTCTGTCCTCTTTTACAAAAGCAGTTTGATCATTTTCAATGAAAATCATTCAAATGAATCCATGTTTCATCTGTAGTCATTATAAGATTTTATTTCCCATAGTGTGATTTCCATAGGAAATCAAACGTCTGTTGTTCACCTCTGCCATTGTTTCTAGAAGACAATTATGAATTTCCTATTTTTTAAATTTAAATATTAATTACCTTATTTGTAGTAAAGGCAGACACTTTAAAAAATGATGGTAATGTCTGTCAAGTAGAAGAGTTCCCTTTTAGAACCACATAATTTAATTTTTAAAACTGTCTTTGAAAAACATTTTTTTGTGCAAGTACTTGCCATTCTCCTGTGTTAAAAGCAGTAACTGTTGATGTTTTGCTAGTTTTGAATAATCGTTTGTCATTCACTGATATCATGATTCTGAAATTTCTACATAGTTTATGTATTGAAAAATGAGATTTCCTTCAGAAAGAGAAAATAATCTAGCCAAAATTTGTTTACATGTGCCATTTTGAGCTTGCAAAAATTCTGACAACAGTAAATAATACATCACTTAAAATGAGCACTACTGCAAATTAATCTTTAATGCTTTTTAAAGTACACACATTTGCTTAATCAGAATCATTCAGGCATAAGAGAACAACTTTACGTATAAACAAACTGTTTGCTACAGCTGTTGCTACAGTTCTCAAACATATTTTTATTAAGTTTGGTATGTGTAAGTGGTTTATTGATTTAATTGAGTACACGATAGTTTAATATCAAAGGAAAGATGCCTTTATGGAGCACATTTTAAAAGAAACTGACTTGTATTTATGTTACATGTGAGGGAAAAAAATCCAACTCATGCTGACAACTTGTTCATTGGAATTTCACCCTATGTTGAACTACCAGTGTTCAGCTGTTATCCAGTGTGGACATTTCTAGTGTATATAATAGTTGTAAAATGAACTGTTTTGATAATTTTTTTCACTGTGCTTCATCTATAATGTACATTTAGTACATAATGAGTACATTTATTTTTACAAGAAACAAAATTATTGATGTTAAAAGCCAAGCTTATAACACTATAAATGCAAAAAAGCAACCATTTCTGTTGGAATTTGCATAAGGAAGGCACAATATTCTGCTTCTCATCAGCATGGCTCTCTAGCTAAGAACTACATTGAACAAGTTAAATTATAGATGTGCTAATCATAGTTACATTAGCAGTGGCCGAACAGTAATGGTCAGTTTCTTAGAATTGAGTGATGATGTACTGCAGTGTACTTCATATATGCATTATACATTTTTCATTCAGCCCTTCCTTTTCTTATTTGGGACTACCTAGTAAAATGTTAATAATTTTCTAAAATTTGTTTAAATTCCTTGTCCCTTTTTTCGAATATTGATATTTGGTTTATGAATACAAAATTTAATTTGTGTAGAGTTGTTTTATTTTATTCTCTTTTGTCTTACTGTAAATATAGTTTCATCTACTGGTACAAAGGTTATCCCAGTTTTATGCACACTTTTAGGAGATACTGGAAGCAGAAGGTATTGACAGCTGCTTTGTACGAGAAAATGCATAGCTGAGGAAAGTAATACATAGAAACATGAAGGTTGAAATGCAATAGTGTGGTTGTGAACACACTATTGCATTGCTCACAATAAACAAATTTTCTAGCTATTGTTTTGTTGTATTCTGTAATAGTAACCTTCTTTTCTCTGTTTCATTGATGTCATTAATGCATTAAAATTCCTGTGACCACTTTTATTTGCTGCCTCACAAATGCCATTTACGTCCTGTCTTAACCTGCCTTGCAATCAATATTCCTTTATTTTAATAATACATTTTTAAATCATTGAGAATTAGATTAGTATTGTCCAATCAGAGCAAGTACAACCTTTGTTGGCAGTCTGCCAAGAAAGTTAGAAAAAAGTCTAACTTTTAAGATCTGGGAATTTTCAGTTTTTCTAAAAAGGAATAATCATTCTAAATTGGTTTCTGGTGTGATGCACATAGGTAATTAAAACTGTGTAAAATATCTTATAGGGTAGCACATGACTTTTGCAGGATTTGGTGGAAAAGCAACAATTAAGTAAACTATCATTTTGGGTTGATCATTTGGAAATGAAATCTAATGTATTTAAAATTTTATGGCTCAGTGTAGTGTTAATTATAAATGCTTCTAATTTTTTATTATTCTATTCTCCCACACAGTGGGAAGTGATAAATATACTTGCTCATGTACATATCTGTTCCCATACTTTTTGATTTGAAAGTATCGCATCAATCACCTCATTTTCTTTATTTGTATAATTTCATATCTCTGTTTGATTGTAATATACGTCTGGTCATATAGTGTTTTGGATTTACAACTCAGTGAGTTAACAGTAAAATAATTTTTAATATCAGCATATTTTTAGAATTCCTGATGTAGTGTTTAAGTGTTGCTATGCACCTTTTTTCAGTCTTTTCTCAGTTTATGATATAAATGTTAAGTTTTCTTAATAAAATGACCAATTTTTTATTTGCCATTTTAACTTTATTTGTTAAATATCTCTTTCATTATACTTAACCCTGTAAAATTCAACAACAAAATCTTAAAATAAGCATAGGAAATGAAACTTTCTCAAGCATTTTCAAAATAAACTTAAACAAAATCCATTTAAATTAACAGGTAGAGAGACTGATATCAGTTTTCTTGATGTGTCATCCGGTATATACAGTAATGTGTCCAGAGGACTGAAAAACAGTCTCAAATTTCAACTTGTAGAAGTAAATCAGTGAAGTTCAATCCATTGAAATTCTAAACAATAATTAAGGCAAAGAGTTTTTAAAATATTGCAAAAGAATTTTGTAAGGTGTTAAAATTGCAGGAAGGAAATGGTAGAAAACAATCTAAATTATTCCAGCAAGGGAAATCATCAAAGCCATATCGAGAATTTTTTAGTTAACTTTTTTTTATAATTTCTGAATTGGGATGCTTCTCAGTTAGGTGACCACTCTTCAAATATTATTTTCTAA